ACAAGAACCACCAGATTTTTATGAACGTGTTTTACAATCATTTGATCGTTTGGCTATATATTTTGAAAGTGTATGTCGTGAAGAACAAGATATACCTGGTCCGCCATGTGAAGAAATAACAACATTTCGACGAAGACTTCAACAATTTGCATTATCAACTGAACAATTGCAATTAATTTACTTTCGAGAAATAACTCAAACACATTCTCCTGTAAATATTCTTTGAAATTTTGTCGAAATTTTATATGTATATTTATTTATTTATTTGTAGCATGAACGTCTAACAAATAATGGTATAATTGTTTTTCGTACTGCATATGAAATCGTCAATGAACTTATTACTATTTATGTTTATAGTATGTTGATTTATTTCATTATTTTTAGCATAAATGAATATATATATATATATATTCGTTTTTTTTTATATAAAGTTCTTTCTTGTCGAGATTTACCAAAAATGGATGTTTTTGGTGCATCAGATCCATATGTTATTCTTGAATTATTACCATCAACACTTTATCCAAAACGTCCAAAAGAAGATAAAACGAATACAATAAAACGAACACTTGATCCAGAATTTAATCAATCATTTCTATGGTAGATTTGTTTTTTAATTGAATAATTTTTCATGACAAATGAATTTTTTTTCCTTTGTTTTTTTTGTCTAAAGGTATCGTCTTCCATTAAATATTGTACATACACCTGGTGCTGTTTTACGTCTGAGTGTTTGGGATGAAGATATAGTAAAAGAAGATGATTTTATTGGTGAATGTTTTATACCATTAATAAGTATTGAATCATTAAAAAATCGTGCATCAATACGTGATGTTCCTGTATCAGAAGTACGTTTGAAAAGACAAAATAAAAATGCTCAACCAAGAGTATTTGAAGTAAAATTTTATTGTTTTTGTTGTGTTTTTTTTTATAATTAATTTGCTTGTTTTAGTTGATTCGAAATCGTGCAAAATTTGATCAAGAAGCAGCTCTCTTTCTTAAACAACGTACTCGTGCAATGGCATCAGACAATGGAAGTGATAATGCATCTGTTATAAGTGATGATAGAAATTCATCAGGTTCATATGCTAGTACAGCTCTACGTTCATTACTTTGTATGCTACCTTTTAACGTTGGTTTTGGTTTTCATTCAACTACTCATGATCGATCAGATATTGATGATGATGAAGAAATAATCTAATTTGTTCATTTCATTTTTAATTTTTCTATACGCTTTTAAAACAAACTGCATGTGTTTTAACAGAAGTCATAATAATTATTGTCAGATAAAGCATATATACATATATGTATATAACTTTTCTTCAGGTTCCAACAATCGTCATCATCATTATCATCGTCAGTTGCATAGTTCGAAGTCACCATCACACGATTCAATACAAATGACTAATACTCAATCGGGTTATCGTTTATGGAGTCTACTTAACTGGAAAGAAGATAGTACCTATAGTTCATATGAAACTTTAGATGCACATTCTGCAAATGAACAATGAAAGAATCTGTTTTTTGTTTTGTTATGTCGATTGAAACAAATCATATGTAAATTTTCGAAACCCAAATGAAATACTCAATATATATTTATTATAGTTTTGAACAGAGTGAAAGAAGAACATTGTAAATAATAATACGAATTCTTATCTGCTAATAATAAGACTAAAAAATGAGTATAAAAAAGTATTTAATATCAATTTTCTGTTTATACCGCTCGATATTGCATTTAGAATTAAAACTCAAATATTGTTCACATGTTTTGTTAAAATTTTCTCTTCGAACAATTGTGTAACATATCTGCAAAACTGGCCATTTAGAAGATAACAGATGATAATATATGAGGAATATAATACAACTTTCATCATCAGTAGACCTACCAAATCTTCTGATTTTTTGACTTTTCTTCGGATAAAAAATCGTCTGATTTCAGGAGCTGATTTTTATGATATTATCCTTCTTTTCAGTTCTGGCAGGTTTAATTTTAGCGATAATATGAATCCACAAGAAAAGCATGAAAAAAAAAATAATTGCTATAGTTAGACGAAATAATCTTTTAGCTCATCTTCTTAATAGTGAAAATGTGTTTAATTCATAGAGATGAGCTCCGATATCTTTTCTGTGCCTGTTTCAAGTGTTTATTGCAAAATCAAGTTTCAATCATACAAAATCTTTATAAAATGATAAAAGAAATCGAACCAGAAATCGCTTTATTGGTGCCCAAACGAAAATTTGAATAATTGACTATTCAAGTTATACAAAATTTCACAATCACTTCTTCAACGATCAAGAATTGTCAAAGCAAATTTTTCTAGCAAGAAAAATATACTCATGCTGCAAACATCATAAGAATGAAGTTCTAGATAGTTTACATTTCATTTCCGATTTGTCTTTTTTCGATGTTTGTCATATTCTTATAAAATATTTATACTTACTTTCTTTTCATCAGTAAACGAACAGATACGAGAATACGAGTGCATTAAAACATATTCAATTACAGACATGTTTAATAATTTCAAAACAAAATTCTAAAAACATCAGAAAAGTGAAAATTTCGAATGTAACAAGCGCTAAAAGAAAATTCCCGAAAGAGCAAATTTTGAGCACTCTTCGATGACTATTCTAGTATAGCAGGATAGACCATCAGAAAATATGACATCATTCGCATTCACTCAATTCTGTTATGTTTGGAATGTATTCCGATCGTTACCGATTAACCAATCAACATTTTTCTAGCAAAAGTCGCTCTGAATTCGAAGTAAGAAACACTCCAACAAACTCTGAAATCGTCCAATTGCGTAGTTTTCAGTGTCCTTCTGACTGTTCTTTTTTTTTAAACTTTTCTAGTGGCCAAAACCATGGATCTAGCATTGTATTGCCATCGAAATAGATAGATTTACAGACATAGGTTTATTCGAGATTTTCATATATAAAATGATTGCGTCTCTCTTTTTTTCCTTCACATCTGACGAGGGAAGGCCACCAAGTGTTCCCTCGCTTTTGAACTGAGACTCAGTTGACCGGGAATAATCGAGCATGTTGATTCCGAGTTTCATAATGGTTTGGACTAATTTTGACTTTAAAGCCTCGGTTTTCAAGCCGAAAAACCATTTGCGCTAAAAATTTTTTTTAATCTGTCCAATTGATAGAGTACGTCGCGAAATCTACAGAAAACCACTTTTCAAGGTTTCATGAGAGGTTCTGAGCGAGTTTTCTATGTCAAGAACTTAAAAAAAGAGAGGAAAAACCGGCTTTTTTACGCAGTATAGTGCAAAAATTGCTCTTTTTTTTTGCCTAGTTTTTCAACTTATCGAAGGTCTTTAATCAATATCACTGCGTATATGTGTTAGACATGATACACTCCAACTTTTCTGGCATTTAATAGAAAAGGAAAACTATGTGTAGTTAGCAGTTCAAAAAAAAATTTCAAGACATGTGAGATGCATGAGTTAGGACAAAGTACACGAACGGAACGGAAGAATAGTTTCGATAAGAATAGCATTCTGTAAAAATATGTGTAATATTAACACTCTTATTCAAGTATCAGAGATGTATAACGTTCCAAACGAATTTTTCACTCAACTGTGAGAAACATCAGTCCATTTCAACACGTTATTCATTCTTTTTTTCTTGCAACAAAATGAATGCGCAGAACATCGTGTCGACTTTGAGCGATTTAGTTGCAAATAATTTAACCGTTACACAGCCGTCTCCAATTACACTACAAGAGCGACAAATGGCTGAATATCTTGCTGATACAGTTAAATTAATGGCCAGTGGACAAAAAGTCGATTATGTCGAAGAGACAATTTTAGATTTCGATGATTTTACTGATGATTAGGAGAGCGAAAAAGAGAAGGATTCCATAGCTGTCGAGAAGGAGGGTGAAGAAATGGACGAAGACTGGTCGGACAAAGATGCAGCTTTAGAAAAACATGGATTGAAAAATTTTTCAGAAGAGTTTATCCGTCAAGTGGTAGAATTTGCTGACTGGAAAAGTCCGAAAACTGGACGTGGACGCTCCTGGAAAGTCATCCATAATCGATTTAAAGCCGTAACAAACAGACAATGTATCCCGCGTTTTCGAAAATATTTGCAATATCATGGAACAAAGCGTCAAAAAACACAAAGTTTGGTTGAATTAGTTTTCAAAAAGTTTGTTGAAGCTAGACAAGAGAGCCTTATTGTTCGTGATTTAGATATCCAACGATGGGGACTGAAAGTAGCCAAGGAAGTAAAACTTGATGAATTTCATGCTTCACACAGCTGGCTGGAGAATTTCAAACACCGTCACAAATTAACCTCCCTCAAAATTATGAACTTTGTTTTACACCATTAGGTCGAAAACATGGACTTTATCGAAAAGTTAAAAAAAGATTTTGTTTTGGAATATAATAAAGTTTCAGCACATTTCAAACCATCAGAAATTTTTAATACTGACCAGACTGGTGTCGAGAAGGAATCTCATTCTACGCGAACGATTTCGTTTTCCGGTGACAAAAAAACTTTCGCAGTTGTTCAGTCGAAAAATGCTACCACACATTCTTACACTTTACAACCCACTGTTTCACTAGATGGAAGACTTTTAGAAACAATTTATTTACGTTTACAGGAGCAGGGTGGTAAGTTACGTATTAACCAAATATCTAAAAACGTCATTTGCTCGTTTTCTCGATTATTCTAGGGAAGATGGGCGAACAAGTGAAGAAACACTTATTTCAGCCGAAAAATGTTACAATAACGTGTTCTTCGTCCGGAAAACTTACTACATCTTTGGTTGAATACTGGCGAGATAATTATTTTTTACCGTTAATTGGTGCTAAATGTCTATTACTCTCGGACAGTTACCCAGAACAAAGTCGCGAGGAAACCTACCTTCCTCAAAACTGCAAGAGACAACATGTGACACGTTTGAAAATTTCGCAAAACACAACTGCCGACCTGCAACCACTAGACTGTTATTTTAATAGACAAATTAAAAACTTTCTAAAAGCATGTTATCATCGTGTAGCTCTGGATGAATTAGACATTCATTTACATGAACGCAATAACATTATTCGGTTGGTTAGTCTGATGCACAATCAGTTGAGTGCAGATGTTTTTGTTTCAATGATAAAATACTCTTGGGGTTTGCAAGCGGCTTAACAAAAGATGACCCAACATCCTTTCGAAATGTTAATCAAGTTTGCTTTCCAAGCGAGCATCTTCATGAACAGTGTCAAGAAAACGGTTGCACTGAATCGTTTTTTATTAACTGTGCTCGATGTTCATTAAAATTGTATTTTCAACATTTTTTCGTTAGTTACCATTTTCATTGAAGAAACAGCTAATACTTTTAAAAACTCTTAATTTTTATGCCATGTCTAACGCATATACGCAGCGATATTGATTAAAGACCTTCGATAAGTTGAAAAACTAGGCAAAAAAAAGAGCAATTTTTTGCACTATATTGCGTAAAAAAGCCGGTTTTTCCTCTCTTTTTTAAAGTTTTTGACATAGAAAACTCGCTCAGAATCTCTCATGAAACCTTGAAAAGTGGTTTTCTGTAGATTTCGCGACGTACTCTATCAACTGGACAGATCAAAAAAATTTTTTAGCGCAAATGGTTTTTCGGCTAGAAAACCAAGATCTTCAAAAACCGAGGCTTCTAAGTCAAAATTAGTCCAAACCATTATGAAACTCGGAATCAACATGCTCGATTATTCCCGGTCAACTGAGTCTCAGTTCAAAAGCGAGGGAACATCTGATGGCCTTCCCTCGTGAGATAAGTATTCTTATTACTCACTTGATGAAAACAAGCCACAGGAGATTGTAGTAGTGACCATTTTGCTTCTCTAAGAGAGAATTGTCTGATATTTTCTTTTTTTTTCGACAAATTTCAAAAAGTCTTTATATTTTCCACCGGATTTTATGAAAAAATGTCCTGATCGATTCCTGATTTTTTTGTGAAAAACTTCTGATTTCTAAAATTTGGATTTGGCATCCTGTAAAATATATAGAAGAAAAATAAAATGTTAATCGTATCTGTTTTTACAAATGGTTACAGTAACAAATTTTCGTTATACAACTTCACCGATAATTATCATTCTAGGTGCAACAGCTGTTGGAAAAACGAAATTATCCGTTTATTTATCTAAACGCTTTAATGGAGAAATAATTAATGCAGATTCAATGCAAATATATGAAGGTCTAGATATTATAACAGCTAAACCAACAATTACAGAACAAGATAATGTTCCTCATCATTTATTTAGTTATGTAAATCCTCTTGATCGTTCACATACTGTTGTGGATTATCGAAATGATGCTTTACCAATTGTAAGTTGATTATAAGAAATTAAAAAAAGAAAATAAATCGAGTCATTTTTAAGTAAATGCGATCAACGTAACTTTCTGCATCCAAAATTTCAAACATTTTCCTGCTAATTGGCTTAATTTTTGTTCATAATTTGAAAGCTACAAATTTGTTGTAATCATGTTGATTATTCATGGTAAATCAAGCACTAAGGCATTCGCTATAAAACTGCAGAATATTGGAAGATGGCCACGGCGAACCTTGTGCACTGGTAGTTTGCACATGAAACCAAAAAAAATCTTATTTTCACTTCCATCGACAATTTTAGAAAAAGAAAAAGATAAAAGAAATAACAACTTTTATTTTATTTTCAAAATCATAAACTGGAACATGTAAATAAAGCATAAGAAGAACAATTGATTTTGATTAGCATATTGATACATACAATGTTACAAGTATTCATGTCTTATCAAGACACTCTAATCTAAGGGTGGTAAAATGTAAACGTGCTCGTTTGGATAACCGTGATATACACTGTGATAAAACAGTATCAGTTGACTGCTGTATATTGTTTGAGAGATCGGCGAGATTTTCATCGAATTTTCTCAATGATATTTTGATTGAATCACGATTATAATTTGTTCTATGAACATCATGACGTTTAACAATGATGACATATGTAGCGTTGGCAGCAATATTACATGTATGTATGCGATAATGATAATTAAATTTTTTCCAGTTTTCACAACGTCAATAAGTTTTTTCGTCGGGTTGATGATTTCGAATGTACGAGTAACTGTATGATATCATTATGGATCTACGCTTTGCGGTAAAAGTGAATCCGACTGAAGTACACATGTTTAAGTATTATTGAGCATAATCTATTATAATATCCAATACTTGTGTTATTTTATGTGAAATATTAGTGTTCTCAATACGAGCTGAGCTTAACAACGGGACCCCAAAAGTTACGCACGATGAAACTTGCGCACCGTGATTTGCGCACCGTGATTTGCGCACCGTGATTTGCGCACGATTTAAAAAACGAATGTGGCTGTGGCTGTGAATGTAGAGTGGATGTACGGTGGATGTAGGTTTAGGTGTGCGTATCATTGTGATTCTTATGTTCACTCCAATCCACACTCACATCCTCATCTCGTGCAGAAACAATCCGTGCATAAGCTACTAGTGCGTAAATTATGGTGCGCAAGTTTCGTTTACTCCTCAATGATACTAAAGCATTGAAAGGATTATATGTCGGTTACTTACAATTCGTGGTTTACCGGATAAGACAATCACACGGTTACTAAAAATCTATCTCAACACTGTTCTTATTAAGGTTAATTTGAACTATCAAGGATACTTCTTCTTTTCCTTTCTTATGTAGCCGTCTGATTAAGTGAAAATTAGATTTTGTTATTTCGTGTGTATCTTTCTTATACCCAAATCTTCATATATTGGTTAATTCAAAAAATAAAGTGTTGACGTTACATATAAACAATGCTAATAAAATGACACATTATATAATGGAAAGTCAGTTTAGTGTTTCTTTTTAACGCTTAATATTATTTTTCAAATCAATTTTCTAAAACTAAAAAACAAAATTTTTTTATTTTGTTTCTTAGATTGAATCAGTGGTATCTCGATCTCATCTATCATTTATTGTCGGTGGTACGAATTGTTGTATTGAATCTTTACTTTTTCATTTTAATCCACCGAATCCATCTCCCAAACATTCACATGATAAACAATTTACATCATTATTAAACGATTTATCCGAAGAAAATTTATCAAAATTAACTTCCGTCCAATTACATGAATCATTATCGAAAATTGATAAACCAATAGGTATTCGAAGGCATCCAAATGAAGAACGTAAAATACGAAGGATCGTTTTTATGATTCATAAATCATACTTTTTTTTCCGACAAGAAAAAATTGGGTAATAGCCCAGATATAATAGATAGTGCATCTAGTAAAATTAAAACGAAAACAAGCAAAAATCTCAGAGCACGTCTATGAATCATTCTAATCTACGTAGAAAAATTACAAAGACACATTTTATAGAAAGAAAGAACGTGAGCCGTGTACACACGTATGCATACAATAACACTGACAGCGATGATAAATTTATTCAGATTATATCTGAGTAAATGGTCCGTAGCAATTTTTTTTTGTCTCTTTTGTATGTTTCTCTTGCATAATATTTAGAATTATTGAATTCTATCGTGATTCTGGTGGTATTCCATTAAGTGAAGCATAAGCCAAACAACAACATGCTCAAGGTGGTTTTTCTTATCGAGGTTCATTTGGTTTTCATAGTCGTTTTCTGTTAAGGTTAACATGTCAAAAAGAAGGTGTATTTATATAAATAAAACAAAACAAAAAAACATCAAATGTTTTTATTTCTTGTTTTTAGAATTAAAAAAATTTCATGATGAATATAATCAAACATGTACACAAGCAGAACAATCATATAATTATACTCGTGGAATATTTCAAGCAATTGGTTTTAAAGAATTTCATGATTATTTACTTTTATCAAATATTGAACGAAAAAGTGAACATGGTGAAAAAGTATTTGCTAATGGTAGGTATGTAAGATTATAAGTTTCTTTTTCTTTTCTTGGTTTTTTTAATGTATATAGTAACTCCTCAAATTATTTGAGCAGGTTTATTTTCAATTTTTTTTTCCATTGCTATCAAGACTAATAGAAATTCAAATAGTGATTTTATGTAGAAAATTTTATTTTCAACATGAACTTTCGAATGGTCAAGATGATTGTTAGTTTTTCAAGGATAAAGTCTCTGAAAAACTCAAATCCAAATTTTTCGTCTATCGAAACTTTGTTTAAATTATTCAAAATGATAGAGCAAACAAATCTCTGCAAAATGAAACATCTTTCAGCTATCTATGACGTTTTTTGATC